TGTGGCGCGCGAGTCGGACCGTGGGGAAGTTTTGTGACCACGCAGCCAAGAAACACGAGAGAGAAGCTCAATTCAGATGGGCGGCGTGGAAGCTGTCCTGACCGGGTAAGATGGCGTCTGTGTGGATGTTGTTGCAATAAGAGGAGTTGAGAACTTGAGACGAACCGGCCGATGGCACGGGAAGGACAGGGCCGCAAGGTGGTCAGTAGTCTGGCGTGGAGAAGGGATTATTTCGCCGACAGGGAAGCGCCGAGGCGGCGGCGCGGTAGCTTTCGGAGCAGAACAACGTTGTGAGAGGAACAAATGAACAAGGTTCTCCTTCATCCGTATGAGTTCCTTACGGTATGGTATGGAAGTTTGGGCTAGACCAAGAGGTTGGAGATCCCTGACCAGACCGGGACAATTGGTAGGAGCGATATTGCTGGGATGACGGGGTCTAGAGTGTGAATAGACTCGTTGTGGACTTTGAACGGCAAAGCCGGCGAAGTTGAATCGCAATCGACAATCCGCCGCTTGTCGTTGGTGGAGGAGACGGAAAGATTGATGGAAGTTGGGGAAGACGAATTGTTCCACCACAGACGCTGCGTTCCACCGAGTTGCTTGACAAGAGCCAGAAGGAGGCAGAGGGGCAAGCCGAAGAGCTTGGCATGGGGCAGACGGACTGGGACTGGGACTAGGAGTCTACCATGGGATGGGGCTATACTAGGAGCTGGGGCCGGGGACTGGAAGAAGGATGAGAATGAGGAGGAGGAGAGCTCGACGTTGGCTGGTGGTTGTGGTTGTGGTGGTGCCGCCGCCGCTGCTGCTATTGCTGCTACGGCTTGGCTTTGCTGCCGTTTCTCAGATGCTCCTGCACGCCTCTGGAGTCTTGCCAGGGGTGTTGGTCCCAAGGCAGACGTTTGCTCTTTGCTGACTGGATGTTCGGGGCCCCAGGAAGGAAAGCTTGGGTCCTGGTGGTTGATGAACGAAAGAAGCAAAGTCTTGGTTGTGCCGATGTTCCTGACTTGAGGCGAGGCGAGGCAAGCTAAGGTACACACTCCCTGCCTGCGTTTAGATGGGATAATGAGACCGAGCTGGAAGTGCTGGACTGGCCGTCGATCAGATTCAGTTGCAGTTGCAGGCCGGCTAGAACACCGTTCAGCGATGATCCTGTTTCAAGATAAGTAAGGCTCGATATGTCTCTGTATCTGCATCTGGCAGTTAACTAGGGGATAGATCCCTTGCCCTCTGTTGGTGGTATTGTTGTTGCTGTTGCTGCTGCTGAGGGTGTGGACAGGAGGGAGCCGCCTCAACTCATGAGACCTTGTCAGAGGGAAGCTACGTTGCTTTTCGAAAGCTGCGAGGTACCTGAAGGTCGTCTACGATGAAGAGACATTTGGCAAAAGCACGCGAGTTGAAGAGGAAGTTGGAGACGTGCGGGACCCGAGAACTCCTGGCCCTGGGGACCTGTAATGGCGACTCGTGCATACCAAAATGGTGGGGTAAATGGGGAAAGCATGGGGGAGTGCCATCCCCTGTGGGTTCCTTGAGACTCTGACAAGTTGAGGTAACTGCTTGTCAGTGGTTGTACTTCCCCCTGAAGAGCAACTCTGGCTGGGGAGAGTTGGGGAGAGTTTGGCAAGGGGAAGGGGAGGGGGGATCCCCCCGAGCTGTCTGGTCGTCGCCGCAAAGATTTGCCGCATTTTCCCTATTTCCGGGATTTGAACGTCAGAGATTCTCCGCCAATCATAGGATGCTCCGTCCACGCCATTCGGGGCGACTTGGCACCGTTAGTGTGCCGCTGGGAGGGAAGGAAAACCTCCTATGTGCATGGTTCAAGGATTCCACACACACCTCCCTCACACCTCTCACCATCAAAGTCTCTGTCTCTACGGATTACACCAGGTAAAGAAGAGCATCACCTCATACCAACCCTCAAACAACAGATGTACATCAGACTACCCGCCAATGATCATGTTTGACCGGCTTGGCTCACCAGTCACGACCTGTACATGAGCATAGGTACAGCGCTACCTTGGCTTCAACTCGATTGGCGTCCAGACTATACTATTCTTTTCAAGCCATCGGTCTCATTTACGACAAACGTACATGCCTTCTCAATGTGTGGTTGCAGCCGAGCGAAAGAGAGATCTTCCGCGGCCCATGTTGCTTACCGCACAAATGTCAAGCGTTCATGGCGCCTTTATCCCTTAGCCTGAAAGCGGCAGAGTTCACCTCTCCCGACTTACATGGCCTTGGTATTACTTGGAAGTTACACTTTAAACATTTCAGCCAAATTTACCAAATCTGTCTCTCTCTTGAGAAGTAGTGGTTTTTCAAGACCGCCTTTCATAACTTCGTCCTAGATATTCTCCACCACCTGATGGATCATCAACTCATGAAACGATTGCTGGTCCCTGAGGAGAAGTCACGCTGGTGATGGTGACGAGTCAAACAAACCCCATCTCGGGCCTGTTCCGGTCTCTATTCAGCGTTGTCTTCGAACGAACGACTTGTGCCTCTGACGGAGATCGCTCCTTCTGGGGAAGCAAATTGTGGGAACGCAATCGGCAAATATTTGATTGGGCCCCGCCGTCGTCGATACGATGTTCTCGGGATCGCCAGCCGTTGACTACACCTCCTGTCACCACCGCTGTGATGTTGTTGGGCGCTGTTCTGGAAGCTCACCAGCCTGCTGTAGACGGCTAAAGACGGACAGGAACCCTTCATTCCCTTGGCGTACTCCGTACGCATAGACTAGACCAGACCAGACCAGACCAGACAAACCCATCTAAGAAGAACGGTTCAGCTCCGAGAAGCCACAGCCGTTCCGGGGCGCAAAACCGGCCCCCGCATCATGGACCAGTCTCCAGAACCATCCTCCGTCTACCGCGTCTTCGGTCCTACAACCACTGTAACCGGCATAGCCGCTGCTGCAGATGCCAATGTGCGCTCGGAGAAAAAAACACCCTTAGCACAAGCTTATCTGCCTGTCCAACAATCACACGTTGGCCGGTTTGGCAAAGGTATCGACTCCGAGAGGTCCAAGACGACCCAAAAGGTGGAACCTGGCAAACTCCTGTGGCCCCCCTCATTCATCTCACTCATTCGCAAAGTTTCCTTCAAATTGATTCCATCGCTTCGAAACTCGAAAGTCACATCATCCAGGTGGGCTTACAATATCGCGTCTCGATGACAATTCGTGGATATGAGTGAATCGGCTTCCGGCTCCCGTTAGCGTGAGACCAAGAGGCCCCCGTCGTCGCCTTCTTCCGAGCATCTCTAAGTTCCCGACACGGAGCCAAGGTTTTTGAGGCTTAGATCCAGTTCTCGAGAGTTTCAACTCGTCAACTTCTCGTCAGCCTCGACCCTTTTTTTCTCTCTTGGCAATCAATCGGAAGCACATCGCGATCCAACGCGGCCAGCAAACTATGACAACTTCATTGGTGCAGAATCACCTTTCGCCAGGTTCACAATCGGCGACGGGCTTCGTTGGTGGAGAAACATAGATACGGTGCCAAGGTGGAGCATCTCCCTCGAGATATGTAGGCCAAGACTCCCAGCACGAAAAGAACATAAGAAGCGAGGCAGATCAGTCCATCTGGCCGTTTTCGATTTCTATGACAGACAACTACCGACGCCAAGGACAGAACCGGCCCGGATATGCGGGTTTCGTAACTTTTTATGAACTGCATTACAAAGCTTCAGCAGTTCGGAATCGAGATGCCACGAGATCGCAGGCCAGAAAGCTACCCGGACACGACCTTGAGATCAAACCACGTCACCTATGTGACGCCATTTGCAGGACGATATCAAGATACTTCGGGAGGAGAGAGACACTTCTATTGGCAGCATCGTGATGAAAGCCACGCCAACAACACACGGACAGCTCTTCCAGCACGACGAGTATCTAATACCTATTCAGCTATCGGCATTCAGACCAATTATCGTCCATTGTCGACAAATCGACAATATTCGCCTTCCGTATTACTAGTGCCGATCTTTGGCCTGGACTCCTGCGATCAGGGCTGAGGAATCGTAAGAGTTACGGCGTGTTGTCTTCCGACTTACACGCGGAACCAGCCCAGCACAACCGTGCAATACTCGCACACGTTGGCAGCAGGGCGTTCAAACATGCCAGGCCCCTCGCAGTGATCAGCAATCTGGGTCCCTTCGTGCTCATCGGGAAGACGTAAGCGCCTAATATGGAGCGCTTCCTCGTTCAAGCCATGCACCACCCACAACATTATGTGTGTCGAAGGCATCACGGCCCGGATCCGAGACGAGCAAATCGGTTCTCGGGTCAGCACATATAGCCCGTTGGGCCAGGTGAAACAATCACACCATGCCGCCTCTGATGTCTGAAGTCTGTAAACGACGGGCAGAGACTCCGCATTGATCCAGCGGCCCGAATGAATATGATAAATCCTGGATGAGTGTGACATGTGCCAACTTCTATCTTACCTTGCTGGAATGCCCCTTGATCTTAAGTTGCGCCTCCTGGCGGTAAAAATCCGTACCGTCCAAAGAAGTAGACAGCCTGATACTACCTGTGGTCGGGTACGTTATACCACCATCAGCCGATGTTGTACTTCATCTGGCGTGAAATTTTACGCGTGAAACTTGCAAGACCGACTTGATGTCTTCGATTTGTGTCAAGTTTGCTCTCACACCGCTCATCAAAGCAGGTCATAGTCGAAACTGCCAGTGACGCCAATGTCAGCAAGACGGCACTGGCGCAGAGAGCCATATCTGATACCGGAATTGAGAGTGAATGAATAATGCTTCGTGTTATTGTATAAACATCTCGCCGCTTTCATGTTTCCGAACTGATATACATGCCAACTTCATGTTGAAGAACACTAAAAATCTTGGTGTAAACAATTACATCCAAATTGCCGTGCGACATGGCAGTGCCTATATGTAAAAAGCAATATCAAACGCTCAAAACATCACTCACTACGCCCCATGCGATATGCTGTAGCCGGACCCTCCAAAGATAGGACATTCATTTCCGTCCACTACGCCTCCCCGACGCCCTCGCTCTCCATCATCGTAGCCCTCGCCTCAGTCTCATCGTCGACTTCCTTCCCGCCAACAGGACTCCTCCATCCCGTACTTGCCTGACACAGAATCGCAACGACCGCCAACGCCGCCGCAGCCCGCCACGTGCCCCTCGACGCAGCAGCGTAGCGCTCCACCGCGATCCCGTGCTCGGCAGGACTCAGCCCGCCGTTAAACACGAGCGCGGGACTCCCAATGAGCTTGGTAATGAGCTCCTCCCGCCCTTCGGCAAGACGCCCGCCGCCGTCCAGCTCCGTGAAGCTGGCGACGAGACCCGAGCGCAGGAGGCGGTAAAACACGCCGCCGCCGATGGCGGTCCCGAAACTGCCGCCGAACCCGCGGAACGTGCCCAGCAACGACGTCGAGATGAAGTGCTCCTCCGGGCGGCTGAGGTGTAGCAGGTGCGCGAGGGTGTAGTTAAGCGTCGCGCCCGTGGCGAGGCCGTTGAGCACGACGGCCAGGACAAAGACGCCGAACGGCGAGGTCTCGGTGGCGACGAGCGAGAGGCCGAACATGGTGGCCGCGAAGCACGTTAGGCTAATGACGGAGGGCAACCAGAAGGCGCCGTTGCGGCGGACGTGCAGCCAGCCGACGATGAGACCGCCGGAGCCGAAGCCGATGTTGGTGGGGATGAGGATGGAGCCCGCGATGGCGGGGGCGTAGCCACGGACGGCGAGGACGAAGATGGGGCTGTAATAGAGCAGGGTCCAGCGGATTGACATGAAGAGGAGCTGGGCTGTGCAGGAGAGCAGGACGCCTCTAGAGGAGAGGACGGAGATTGGGATAATGGGGTCCGTGACGAGTTTGAATTCGATGAGGACGAAGAGAAGGAGAGAAACGGCTGAGAGGAGTAGGGATAGAGGGTTGATGTCGCCCGAAAGGCCATATAGGAAGAGCACAATCGTTAGCACCTGCGAGGGGGTGTTAGCTGCTGGTAAGGTATTTTGAGAAACGGTTAAAACCGCAAAGGGAAGCTACTCACTAGCATAAAGGCACCCGCGTAGTCGATTTGGGCCAGCTTCTGGAGAACCGACTTGCCTCTGGTCTTGTGGTCGGAGCTGAAGCCATTCGGGATGCTCAAGAAAGCACCAATGCCGGCAAGGAGTCCCAGAGGTGTTTGGACACCGAACAGAGCCCTCTGTATAAATCATATTAGCCCACAATCCTTTCCTCACCACAGACGGACACGGGAAGAGTCAACTAACCCATCCAATAACAGGCAACAATGCGCCGTACACCACAGCGCCAAACGACAACCCAATCGTGAAGCCCGCATTCACCAGCCCGACGAAAACGCCCCTGCTCTTCTTTCCCACCAGCTCGAGTACCAGAATGACGGACAGCGTCATGATGCCCGCGCCTCCCATACCCGTCAAGATTCTGCCGGCGATAAAGACCCAGAAGGAGGGTGCTTGCGAGGTAACGACACCGCCGAGGCCGAAGAAGCCGCCCAGCCAGAGCACGAGGATGCGGGGCGAGAAAATGGTGGCCAGGCGCCCGAAGAGGGGCGCCAGAGAGGCCATGCTGATGAGGTAGGAGCTGGTGAACCACATTGCGTGCGAGTATGCGTTGAGGTCCTCGGCGACGACGGACTGCGTCATTGTCATGCCGGATGTGTTTGATGCTGTGCAAGGGGATTTAGTCTACTAACTTCACGATACTATTCGAGACATCGAAGATACAACACACCTTGGAGGAAGATGAGAATCCAGGTACTCAACATCAAGACGCCAGCACGCGTCTTGCTAATAGACTGCTTAGGCCCATCATCGTCGTTGTCGTCGTCCGAGTCTCGATCTCGGCGGCTCCCGGCCGGCGATCCATTATGGAGGGTCCGAGAAGACGTCTCGGAGTTGAGTAGTGTCGTCGTCTCGGTGGCATCGGGGAATGAAGAGGTCCCGGTCCTCTCGGCGTCAACTTCAGATGCGACATGCTGTTGCCGGTTGCGGAGACTCGACGGTTCTTCTACCGCCGCCGCCGCCATGTTTGATCGTCAACGGCCAAAATGCCTTAAGGTCTTTGTCGGACACACGCTGCGTTCGGAGCCGGTGTCGTTGCCATTCAGCCCTTTCCCCCACGCGTCAACTTAATTCTCAAGGTTTGCTTTTGCCGAGACTTTTGTGAGTTGATGTTAGGTGTTGAAGGAACGAAGAGATGAACATGAACAATGCAAGGAAACGCTGAAAAGCATCAAACTGCCTCTCTTTCTCTGTCGCCCTGTTCTCTGAGGCGGACTTAGGCCCTAGTTTGACCTTGAGGTACTGTCACATGAGCAAGTGAGTGCATGTGAGAGATACTAGAGGGAGTTGAGTAGTAGCGTCCGTCATGTCAAGTTGTTGAGGTTGCTTTTGCTCTACCTGGCAGCAGCAAGCTTGGTAATCCAGCTCCGAGCTTGGCTCCCCCACCTTTTCCCCAGGGCATTGCTCGATTCAGTTGCTTGCTCTTACTGCCAGAAAAACGTCACAGTTGGGCGGTTCGGCGAAGCAGCTTAGCAGAGCGACAGGGTCCCACCCGGGCTGCAGCCAACTCTGCCCCGCTTTTGCCGGCTAACGGCTCGCGCTTCGCTCCCGGCCTCTCCAACCTCCTCTATTCGCCGATAATACCAGCCTCCGTCAACATTGATATGCTCCTGCAGGTTGTGACTTGATAAGAAAATATTGTGTCAGTTAGATAGAGTAAACATATGAGGCCGCTTTCAGGTATCGGGTATATTGTAAGCCGCTTTTTCTTCGGTCTTTTTCCTCACTATCTCCGTCCTGGATGTGGTAACCGGATAGGCCTATCTCCGGCCTATGCGTCCGATGTTTCTCACCTTCGGGTCATATCAAGAGAACAACCCGATACCGACATCGGCACCCTGGAGCTGTAATAAAGTCGGTTTTCTACCCCTTAGTGTGTGCAATTGAACGAACTTAGGGAATCGTGTCATGAAGCTGCGATACATGCGCAGCTGAGCTGCTCCGGGAAAACATAATCGATATAGTTGGACGAGTCATTCTTTGAATCATGAGTAAAAGCTTCTCACGAGAGTATCTTAGGTCGCCGGCGACCTGGAAAGAATCGAGGGAAAATGCAAACGGTTACTATTTACTCTGTAGTTCCATGTGCCGCAATGTACAGCTGCGGAATGAAGGACGCGAATAGCGTCTGAATGTGAACCTCTTGATAGATACCTTTGTTCTCTCTCTCACTCATATTCATGACACTACTATTCTGTCCGCCTCGAGGCTCGAGATGGGACCGGATACAAAGTAGTTGGTAGCAGAGGAAGAGTTTGCCGGAAATTGCGAATCGAAGGAAGATTAGCAAAAAATAAATCAAATGCAAATAACACCGCTTGATCGAATCTTAATGCACTACAACATAAGAGTTCGGAAGATTATAGACACAGAGTAGCTAACCAGTCAGGACTTCGACACTCTTCGGCCAGCAGGTTTTTCACTTATTGTCATGACTTCAGGCGCCGATGCTAACCATGTATTTCCCCGAGAGGATCATGCACGTGACTACACCATCGATGCTGTTGGGTTGGATATGAATGGATTCCCTTTATAAACCATTCAGGCCTAGAGGCGCATGTAGCTTGAGCCGAAACACAAATACATCCTGGACGAGGCCAGCCGCACTGATGACCTTCCGGATGAGGATCACTGGATAGATCTTATTCGAACTACTTTTAAGGACCTCGTAGCTTACGACTTCTTCGCTTTCACTTTGTCTTCAAGCCACGCATTGACTTGCCACCACTGGAAGTGAGCTTTGTCAGTATAAGCTAGCCAAACCCAAGCGGTAGACGCGGTAGAACAGTGTGTTCCGCAAGCAAAATACAACTTCATGATCCAGGCAAGACTCACAATGGCTCCGTCACACAAGGAAACACCTTTTCAAATCTCATAGCAAGCTCATTCCCTAGGAAGGATATTGTGAAGTACAAGACAAAGAAAGCCCGTCAGCCGATAGCCAACTCCAACGCCGATACCAAGCTACAGCCCCCTAAACGCCTTGTTGAACGTCTCCTCAGTCTCTCCCTTCCTCACATCAACATCTCATTAAACCTCAGAACAACCTCGTTGGGTATCCCGTGGGCATCATATCGAAAGGAGCCGGCATGCTCCACGATAGGCCGACCGCGATGTGGTAGGCCATGCAATTCATAGAGCTGCCGCGTTGATTCCCGGAGGCGCCCTCGCCATGTGCCTTGCGGGTAGCGAGCGACTGCTTCTTGTTCTTTGTAGAAGAGGGAGAATCACTCTCCTCCTCGAAAGGTCTGCCCTCTGAATCGTGGTGACTACGCTGCGACCGCGAAAGACGTCGGATCCGGAAGCGTGTCTTCAGAGATCGCTTCCGCGGGAGACACGCTCGAGAGAGGTACTCGTCGTCGTAACCGAGCAGTGGTCTAACCTCCAACTCTGATACCTCCACCATGAACGCCTTCTCCTCTAGCAGCTTTTCATTCGCATCGGAGCTTGTTGACCTCTGACTATCTCCATTTTGAGGTGTATATGCCATCTGTCAAACAGTCAGTTACTGGGTATATTGGGTTGGCGGGGGAAGAGAAGCAACCACTCAGTTCACTCACCGTCTGCGATTCAAAACGCCCAGAGCCCTTCCAAGATCTTTCAGGCACGCCTTGCTTCGGAGATGTCGCGGGTATCAAAGAGATGACCTTGCTCGGTCGCCAGCGCGGCAAACTGTGATACCAAGCTGACCGGCGATGCCCGCCGACGATGTGCACCGGGGACTGAGGGAGTGTGCAAACGTGCATTGCGAATTGCGACTCACACCAGATCCCAGCGGAGTGTGTAATCCAAGCGTCGGAATCAAGACGAAGGGGCGCACATGTGAGTTACATTATATATCCTGCCCGTGTACCCGAACGAGAAGGAAGCAGTGAATGAGTGCACTTGCGTAGACGACTACCTATCCCGCGGGTCCGACGGCTTTCTTCCATGCTTTCCACATTCCATAAAGGACCAAGAAATTAAGACTGGCGAGGTGCCGGTCGCACTGGAAAGTTACACGTCCATTGGACCCAACCTTCCCGGCATGCTCCCGTAGGCTCCGTAGATTCACGGACGGCCGACGGCCACCGCTGTTGCGCCGAACGCATCATCATTCACCCAAGGTATGCTCAGCACTAAAGGGAAATCGAATCCCGGGAGAAGTCCACCTTGAACCTGTGGGTGCAGACTTTAAGCGCCTTCCCGCCTGCATTCGGCGGCGGGGTGTAGACGAAAGTTTGGAGAGGGGGAAGGGAAATCCCCCATGTCCGCGTCTTCTCGCCGATTCGTGATAGTTGCGAAATAAGCTTCCTGCACGCTGCGGAAAAGAAGATGGCATGTGGCAATTCCCAACTTGACGAAAACGACACGGCGACGGCCGCCGGACCGGAAGCCTGCTCCCAGCAAAGCAAATATAGTCATGGATTCGGAAAATAAGCTTCAATAAGGAATCGTGGGATTGCGACTACGAGATGAGCCGGAGGTGACGAAAAACAATTAGGTCTTGTACATACTTCTCGCTCAATGCAATATGTTGTCTCCTCTTCTTCCGTCTTGGCGTACAAAGGCTAAACCTTGCCGCGAACTTTTTTCTTCTTCTCTACTCCCCAATCCTGAACGCCTGCGCCGTCGATTATTTCCCATGGTATATCCCAGAGCGTATATATGCGTGTACAGCAAACCATGCCAGAAAAGAAAATCCAGGGAAGGGAATATGACATCAACAAGACCTTTTACGGCAGGTCATCCACGTAACCTAGCGTATCCCGATGATCGTCGCAGACTCTCGCAAACTCTAGCAAAAGCCTCCAGACGTACAACCGCATGTCCTCACGCCTGAGCACCTTGTCCGCCCACTCCTTTCCCTGCTCGGCGATCCACCGCGCCGCGTCGTCACCTTTGCTCTTCTTCCCAAGCACCTTGTGGACGCCCCATCCCCGAGGCTCGTCATCATCGCCATCCGTAAAGAAGTCCAAGACGCCGTAGAGGTCCTGGAAGGTATTGTCAAGCGGCACAAAGTGCATCCACGGCGTGAGCCGGTCGTCGTGCCACTCGGCGTACACCGTCGCCTTGAGCGGCACGCTGGTCGACAGCATAAACGCCCTGAACCGCCCGCTGAAGCTATACCCGTCCGCGTCGGGCAGGAACTTGCTCGTAAATTGCTCGGCCATGGGCGTGCTGTTGACAACGGACAGGTGCGGCGTTAGCCAGCCGCACTCCTCCTCCCCCCTGCGCCGGTCGTGTGCACTGGGCCCGCACAGGAGCTGCGTGAACCCGGCGTCCGCGAACCGGGATAGGAACGCGCCGAGCCGCTTGTCGCGGCGGCGCTTGGTGTCGTAGCGATCTAGGGGAGGCATGTCAAAGGTCATGGCCCGGACGTCGTTGGCTTCCATGCCGCGAACCGTCGTCCCGTTGAGCATCTCCACCAGGCGCTGGCGGTGGAAGTGCATCCAGTTATCCGACTTTGCGAAGCCGCCCGAGCCGATGCCGCGCCAGATAAGGCGGTCGCGCTTCTCCGGCCACGCGGGCCCGCGGACGTTGCCGCCGGTGTAGGATGGGTTATCGGAGAGGTACATGGCGCCCGGGATGAGTATGTCCGAGTTGACGCGGAGTTTCGAGCCTCCGAAGAGGGGGATAAGATCCCTTGTGGTGTTGACGTTGAGCGGCTCGACAAAGGTCCCGTGGAGCGAGCGCAGGTGTGGCTGCACACATGGGTCCATGGAGCTCGTGAAGTTCTGGACGTAGCCTTGGCGAGCAAAAGGCGCCGTCCACGAGTATGGCAAGGTTGGCGGGAGGGAAAGGTCTGTCGCAGCGGGTACGTTCTTGGCTGGGGTATCTGCAGGGCAGGCCTCTCGAACGAGATCCCAATACTTGCGACGGTCGCCGCTGGTCCATTTCGCAGAAGAAGCAAACTTGCCCTGCGTCGCATCTACACCGGCCAAGCTCTGGAACATACTCGTAGCCTTGTTCTTCGTAGGCATAG